AAACACAAATCAAAGTTTCTGATTAGCTCCTATAACCTTAAACTTCGCAGCCGGCCCTCGAAAGTTGTCCCAAACAAGGCCAAACGAGCGAACTGCAGACCGGAAACACAGCCATTAGACCAAACAGCTGTTAACTCAATTTCCTCCGTAATTGGTGGTTGGGAACAAGTAGCCTTTAAAGAATTTTATTGTTATTATTACAATGCAGACACGATGCATAAATTAATGTATGGTTGGTAATAGATGAAGGAATAAAGAGGAAGATAAATCAATGGATAATGATTAAAAAGAAGAAAAAAAAACATATAAGCATGGATATAAAACAAAATTAATAGAAGAGTGAAAATGAATGATGAAAATTAAATAAACTGCAGCAAAAGATAAGCAGATAGATAACGATGTATGATATATACAGAACATGAAATAAACATATATTTTAGACATGGCTATCGATTTTTTTTCTTTATTTTTATTTATTCTTTTTTATTATTATCATTTCTTTTATCTATTTCTTATTTAATATTATTGTTTATTTTGTTTTATTTCATTTTATTTATTTATTTTTTAATATTGTTTTTTTCTTCTTTTGCTTCATGTTACAGACTTTTTTTCTCTTTTGCTGTTTTTTTTTTTCTTCTTCTTTTGCTTCATGTTACTTTTTTTTTCTTCCTTTGCTTCATGTTACAGACTTTTCTTCTTCTTTGCTTCATGTTACAGTTTTTTCCTTCTTCTTTTGCTTCAACAGCCTCTCTAACATGTGCGATGTAAAGGCCATCTCAGAAATCTTCCTTACACAGAATTTTGATTTCCAAGAAGAGGGGAAAGTGACGCACTGATGACGTCACAGCCAGGTGGGCGCCATTTTTCTGTTGCGATTTGAGAGTATTGGCTGAGAATCCGTCGATATCTGTACTTACCCTTCATTTATCAGATTTGTTCTCTATAGTAGTTTGGAATTTGGGGAAGAGCAAACACGCGAATAGCTGTTAGAAATACTTTGGAGTTTTTGAACATATGATCACAGTTACGAGGGCGTGGCTTGTGGTATAACCTAGATTTCTGTTAATTACATTATTATTATTATTTATTATTGTCATTTCTGATCACTGAGAATATCTACAAAATATAAGAATGAAGAGCAAAGGAATACTGACTATAATAATGATTTGTCAAGTATCTAAATAAACACAAAAGGCTTGAAAACAGGTAGATTGCAAGGGTTTTAGACCATTTTCCCTTTACGTTAACCATTTATTTATCCTTCTTATTTATGTACCTATTTATCTGTTTTTATCTTATTTATTTTTTTTTTTTTTTTTTTTTTTTTTGTCTTGTACTTTAC